TCTGTTTCTAATTTTGTTCATAAAGCCTTAGATTCCTTCTCAAGGAGAAAGGACAGAATTTCTTTTATTGTCTTATTTACTTTATTTTCATATAATAAATTTGATAAATTATAATTTTGTAAAATACATTTTTGGAACCTAGTGAACATGTGGTAAGAGTATTATTTCAATACAAAGAAAGACCATGAGAAGCAACAAACTAGAAAACTATTTTTTCCAAATCAGCAAAATAATAAAAAGGTAAATTTTAAATCTTTCTTATGGAACTTCATCTCTTAACACTATCCCCATGAGACAGTTTTGAACAATCATGTCAAATGAAACATTAAATTCACTTGTGGATTTTCACATCTTGATTCCTAGGGAGCTGAAAATCTGTTATTGTCTGCTTCTAAATGGAGAACAAAGACTATTCACTGTCAAGCTCTTACTGTTTGCCTCCATTAGGAGAACAGTCAGAAGAACACTAAACCCTAAAGTCCAAATGCTCTTTTTGTTCCTGCAGCACTTTGTCATTGTTTAGCAACCTCCCAGAATTTTCCCTTTCAACACAGGTATATTTCTTGCTTATTAAAAATGTCTACTAAATGGATACACTGTACAGAATGGTCTCTCCTGAATACTTATGGCAAATGGATTTCAGAGACAATGTGTAGAAATGTAAACCTCTGCAGTTTATCCTAAAGCTCACCAGAGAATTTAACTTTGCATGTCTGTCAGATTAGGTCTTTCCACATAGGGTCATTTATTTGTAATCAAATGAATACTGTCAGATTCTACCACACCTATCTGATTATGCTTGGTTGGTTTAAGAGCTATACTAATGTGATGCACCTGCAAGTTACCAAGAAATGGAGAGCAAAAACACATTTGCTATTTGTAAAAAAAAAATCTTCACAGAAACAGAAAATTGATTAGAGCGTGAGAAAGTTTATGCCACATGAAAAACCATGAAGTCAAAATATTTTATGAAGAAACCATGGAATTTATTGTTATGAATAAAATAAACAGTGGATGGAGATGTCTGTGTATGATGTAAATTGTCTAACACCTTTATACCATAAGAGCAGCTATTCTGTTCAAGTTTTTCTTTGAAGCCACTATACATTTACATTGCACTTTTTCTAATATCTTGTCATTCCATCCTTGTGAGCTTGAAAATGGTCTCCTGTTTTCCTTCAGATAAAATACTAACTGCTTAAAATGATAGACAAGCCTGGCAAGATAGCTTATTTGATAGCATTAGTCACTCCCTCTCAGAACACTATTCATATTATTT